CTAATAATATGATAAACATCTATAACAGAAATGACGATGATATGAAAAAGCGATCCATTCTTATCAGAAAAAAAATCTTATCTCTGTCATCGTAATTTCCCCCGAACTTTGGAAATCCCTTACCCCCTCTCTCCTCCACCCCCCCCCACCCCATTTACCCCCATTATGGGAGTGTGTGTGGGGGGTGTGGGGGTAGAGTTCTCTTTCTCCCCCCCCCCCCCCACCCATTCCAATTTAAGAAAATCGTCATTCAGTTCACGCACTGCATCAATATATCTTAAACTGATGCCAATCTGTGACAAGACATGGTACCCTCCCCCCCCCCCTTTTTTCCTCTCCTCTCTTTCCTCCCCTCCTCTTCCCCTCCCCTTCTCTTCGCCCTCATCAGTTTCCACTTTATTGCTTCTTTTTTACTCTTCCTTCTTATGTCTGTGTTTGTTATTTCTGTTTGTCTGTCTGTCTGTCTGTCTCTCTCTCTCAATCTCTCTCTCTCTCTCTCTCTCTCTCTCCTCTCTCTCTCTCTCTCTCTCTCTCTCTCTCTCTCTTTCTCTCTCTCTCTCTCCTCTCTCTCTCTCTCTCTCTCTCTCTCTCTCTCTCTCTTTCTCTCTCTCTCAATCTATCTATCTATCTCCTCTGTCTCTCTCTCCCTTATTCATCTACGAATATATATGTATATTGTTGGGAGTACACTTTCCCTTTCCCTCTATTGACATATTCCTCACTATTCACTCTTCTTTTCTCTCTACACCTCCATTTACACACACGTGCGGCCACAGCGGGAGGTTGAGGAAAGAAGGGAAGTAGAAGAAGGGAGAGGAGGATGGGAGAGGGGAGGCAAAAGAGGGAAGGGAAGAGAGAGATGGTGGGAAAGGGGAGGATGGGAGAGGAAAGGGAAGAGAAGGGAGGGTGGGAGAAAGGAGGGTGGGAGAGGAAGATTGAGAGAGGAGAGGATGGAGGAGAGGGAAGGGAAGAGAAGGGAGGGTGGGAGAGGAAGATTGGGAGAGGAGAGAGAGGAGAGGATGGAGGGAGAGGGAAGGGAAGAGAAAGGAGGGTGGGAGAGGAAGATTGAGAGAGGAGAGAGAGGAGAGGATGGTGGGAGAGGGAAGGGAAGAGAAAGGAGGGTGGGAGAGGAAGATTGGGAGAGGAGAGAGAGGAGAGGATGGAGGGAGAGGGAAGGGAAGAGAAAGGAGGGTGGGAGAGGAGAGAGAGGAGAGGATGGAGGGAGAGGGAAGGGAAGAGAAAGGAGGGTGGGAGAGGAAGATTGGGAGAGGAGAGAGAGGAGAGGATGGAGGGAGAGGGAAGGGAAGAGAAAGGAGGGTGGGAGAGGGGAGAGAGGAGAGGATGGAGGGAGAGGGAAGGGAAGAGAAAGGAGGGTGGGAGAGGAGAGAGAGGAGAGGATGGAGGGAGAGGGAAGGGAAGAGAAAGGAGGGTGGGAGAGGAAGATTGGGAGAGGAGAGAGAGGAGAGGGTGATGGGAGAGGGAAGGGAAGGGAAGGGAGTGTGGGAGAGGGGAAGGGAAGAGAAGGGAAAAGGGATGGGTGGGGAGGGAGAAGGAAGACAAGAAAGAAGAGAAAGCAAAAGACCGAGAAAAGAAGGAATAAAGGGGGGATTGGGAGGGAAGAAAAAATAGATAAGAGAGAGAAAGGAAACAAAGAAATTACGAAAAGATAGAAACGGGGGGGGGGGGATAGAAAAAGAGAGATCAGAGGAGATATAAACTGGAAAGAAAGCTAGAGGGAGTGAGAGGAGTGGGGGGAGAAGAAGAAGAAAAAAAGAGAGATGAGAGAATATAGAAAATATGAGATGGGGTAGTGAGGGGGGGTAGTGTGGGGGTGGGGGGGGGGATTAGAGGGAGATCACATCTGTTACTTATTGACGACTGTACTAATATGTCTGTCACCCGCATGTGTTCCCCAGGCCACTAGCACACCTACCGAGTCACTCTTTCTCTCTTTCTCTCTTTCGTTCTTTCTCATTACTTCGCCCTCTTCCTCCTCCTCCTCCTCCTCCTCCCGTTTCCTCTCCTTCATTCCACTCCCACGCTATCTAGGTTTCAGTTCTCCTCCCTCCTCCCTCCCTTCTTTCCTTCTTTCTCCAGTCTATCATCTCTTCTCCCTCCATTCCTTTCTTTCTTCCTTCCTCTCCCCGCTCCCTCTATCACCTCGCCCTCCTTCCTCCCTTCCTTTCCTTTCTCCCTTTCCATTCTCTACCATCTCTTCTCCCTATCCTTCCTTTATTTTTTCCTCCCTTTTCCCCTTTCCCTTCACCTTTCTTCTCCTTCTTCCCTTCTCCACCCCCCCCTCTATCACCTCTTCTCCCTCTCTCCCTTTTCTTCTTCCTCCCTATCCTCGCTCCCTCCTACATCCCTCCTTTCTCCCTCTCTTCCTTCCTTCCCCCCCGTATCATCTTTCTCTTTCCTTCTTCCTCCCTCTCCCTCTTCCACCCACTTATCATCTCTCCCTCCGTTCCTTCCTTCCTTCTCCCTCCTAAACATCTCTATTTCTCCCTCCCTTCCTCCCTTTCCCCCTTATCATCTCTTCTCCTCTTTCTTTCCTCCTTCCTCCCTCTCCCCGCTCCGAC